AAATATTCTAATATATTATATAAAAATGTTTAACATTTATCATTGTCAACAGATCATAGCCAAATGCAAGACTATTTAGATGCACTATTGAAGAGCGACATAATCTACTATAATTCTTCGGCGATATTAAACGGACAAAATATACCGTACAGTATAGCTGGTCGTTTGAACAACAGACATTCAAATTATTACTTTTATCCCACTCCATTTGATCAAGTAAGAATTATTCAATAGAAACAATAATTTGAACGAGTAAAAGTACCTTACCTAAAGATAAATATTTCCCTAATTATTCTAGACACACTGTATTAATGGCGTTCGATTAGATACTCCAAGCAAAATAACAAATTCACAATATAACAGTATTTATGCTTCTAAAGAAGACGTGTTAAGAAATAAAGAACTTTCTTTAACACCTAGATATGTTGTTATTAATATGTTAACTTAATAATAGTAATTTCAATGTTGTTTTTATGATTTCGTCGATTTAAACTGCTATTGGTTTAATAAATAATTTATAATTCTATGTAAATTATTATTGTACATTTGTGCTTTAGCCTATTTACTTTGCATTCAGAAGATCATTAGTTTAACTGTTGGTGTTGCAATGACTAAACAGGCATGATTACGAGATAATAGCCCCAGATTTGAAGAAACTTAATATCATGGAATAAAGAATAAAAAACACGTTGTTTTATATTTATTGCAAGTCTGAATGTTTTATCATTTGTTTTTACAAGTATGATATGAACAAGGTGTAGAAAATAGAAAAGAGATAAAAATACAATAGACCTATAAGAATTTAGTTACTAGATGAAGATTATTGTGATAAAAGTAAAAATAAATAGTAAGTAATAATGTAAAATGTGTGCATTTAGTATGTGTATGTTTTATTCTTCACTAGCTGAGTCGTGGTCCCATATTCAGAGTTGTGCATCATTCGAATAAAACGTTATCTAAATAATCATCTAGATAAACACATTATTCGAGTAAAAGTTATTCAAATAAACTTTACAAACATATTTTTTTCACCTTGCAGGATATCCAGCGCTTCTGCTATAGGCCCGACACAAGTTAAATGTTCTTCAATATATATATATTCCGAATCTTTTATTGTACCATTTTTTAAATCAAATGCTTCAAATAGCATGCCGTTTTATTCCTTATTTCTTACTATTTGTTTTAGAGCATCGTATCATAAGTTCCATCGAGTATCTCCTGGTCTCAACAAATTATGACCCAAGACTCGTAGAATCTATTAACATAAAATTGTTTTTAAAATTATTTAACAAACAACTAGTTTAATAACAATAATAAATTACCTCTGCAGATTTTGGTCTACCAGAAGCATTCCATAACAGGGAACACTTTTTCATAACTGACGTATGAATATCATTGAGTCGATGTGAAGATTTAATTGTTTTAAACAAATCAGTTGTTGCAACAAGACTCTATGTATGACGTATTTGCGCAACATCGTTAATTCCGAGGTAGCCTTGACATAGAAGAGCTACACTCAGTATCATTAGTAGATTCTAACGAATCACACACATATTCATCTTCTTGTTCAACATCGTTTTCTATTGTATCATCAAACAAATCTATGCTATCGGGTATATCTTCAGAGTTATCAAAGTGAGATAATTTAACAACAAACATCTTAAATGCCTTGACAAAATTACTACCGTTGTCTGTTATCGTTGCGATTATCTTTGAACACCCTAAGACATGCATCATATATACCATGTAGTTTTAAATATTTTGCACCTGTTTATTCAAATCAGATAATGTGGTACGGCTTTTATAATATTTGTAAACAATATAATATTTGTTGCTTTCTTTTTTCAAAACAATTAATTTGCTATATGAGTAATCTTGATATTTTTTGCGTTAATTAAAAAATTTTTTTTTCGAATTATTAGAAGAATACACGTGCACATTGTTTTTCTATTTATTTGCCACGTCTTAAATGTTTTAGAGGCCCTCGGTTAGGTAAGGGTTTTTCAATCTACACGACGTTTACCGTTTTGAAATATGTTTTAAACTACAAAGTGTATTAAACCTACGGTATACCTATTATTTTACCACGCTAGGAAATGTGTCGATATTAGTCTTCAGCATAAAAAAGCTCGATATATGTATGCGAATATAGTATAAAGACTTTTGCATAGTATGTTATTCCCCAAATTTTTGCAAATATGATAATAATACCAACTATCGCATTAGTCCTACGGAATCGAAATAATAATTATTAAAAAATATGTGGTACATCAGCCTAAAATAAATCACATTTTGGCTTGCTAGAAAAGCTCAGCAGATCAAGAGCAGTAGTGAACATATTTATTTATGTACAATAACCCATCGTTGAGTTTGGAAAAATGTTTTTACTATCAAAACTACAGCCAATATTTTTCTCAATTTCCAATATGAAGTACAAACAGCTTTTTATCGACGCGTAGGTTTTGTGTTTTTTGCAGTTGTTGTAATTTTTCTTATTTGTACAAATTTTTCGAATACGAAAATATTTCATAAAAAACAATTGAGTTTTTATTCGATCAGGGATGAACGTTTTACAAAGTCAATTAGTTAATATGTACCTATTATGTTGAAGTGACAACTTCATATTAACCTCTTCACCTGTAGATGAACCACTGCTGCTACAACCATAGAATCGGCCACTGTTGTATACAAATCTTAACAAACCTATTTAAATATTATCTTATCCTCTACCATATGGTTTGTAGAACTCTTTGACGGTTGTGAAAAAGTTTGACGGTCCTTGTAGTAATGAAACATGAGTTATAAGACAAGCACTCGAATCGGTTTATTGCAGAATTAGTTTTTGCTCGGGTTTCTTATAAACTCATAATTGTTGTTACTCTTTTATAACAATTTTTTTGCATAAATATGATTTCATGTCAATTTTTATTGTTTCCAATTTATTTATTTAATTATTTTACGACAATGATAAATATTTCTGATATTTATTAGTTATTTATATTTTAGTGTGATTTTGCTTTTCGCGCAGATCTTAGGAAATGTTTATAATTCAACTGCTACTTTTTAAATGTATTATGTTTTGATTTAGAAAATAAATAAGCTTACATAAACTGGCGTTTTGCAAGTATTATTTTTAAAGTTTTGTCATTTGGAATCAAGATTATTAGTAGATGACTTAAAAAAATTAAAAACAGCACAGTCCAAACCAAGTGCAGTATAAACCAGTACAGTGTTAAACCAATTATTAAATCCAAGGAATGGAAAAAGGAGAGGGCTAGAAAAAAAACACATAGGCAACAATTATATTTAGAACCGCTAGTAAAACTGTTATTAAAAAAAAAACATTAGACAATAATTGTTTAACAATTTTGTATAATATTGTGTATGAAAAAAAATGTAAATATCCTAATGATAATATTACTGTGCAATGTATATAATTTTTTTTATTATAAAAACGAACGCCGAGTGTATAGATATATTAATTATCCCAATATTCCTGAACTAAATAGATGTTCCCCCTGTGGGTAGGGGTAGTAGAATTTACCCACGGTAACTCCACGCCTGTCGTAGAAGTCGACTAAGGTAGGTCGAACGATCGCCGGCATAAGCGATCTAACTCTTGTCAGCAAACAGCTTCGCGTGGAGGAGCCGACAAGAGAAGGGCACTCTTTTGTCCTAGAGTTGGGAACCCGGCTTTAAAGGCGGATGAACTGCAGAATGCAGTCAACGGCATAAGGACGAGGAAGAATTTTCGGACAAACCACCTCATTAAAGGTCCAGAATGGACAAGTCCTAGTATAAATCATCATGATTACGAGTGCGATTAAAGTTCGGTGGAACTATTCAGAAGTGCCACTAACAAAACTCGTATATCAATGATGATCGCCAACATCCGAAACGGATCGGCACATTAAGAAAAAGAAGAAATTATATGTAGATTAGGGAAATATGGCGGGGTATATGTTTGTCAGCATTGTCTCGTAAGCTGATTACTACTACGAAGAAGAGTAAGGAGGCAATTAGTAAGTACGAAGTAAGTTGGGCAATTAATTAAAACAATTTTGTATATTAGTGTGTATGAAAAAAAATGTTAATATTCTAATGGTAAATATTAGTATAATAGGTATGTAATAACTTAAAAGCTAATTTGTAAGAAGCAGAAAAAACGTTACTGACTTGTAAGATAAACTTGCTGCTTGTAATCCTCTGTAAGAAAATAATTAAATATTATTTTCTTGGATCAAAATTTGTGCGACCACATATTATATTTTGAATGCGGTCGAGTTGTAGCCACTGTAGGTGTCCAAGTAGTTTTTAGCCAGCTCGAATGCCTTGCTGATGCACGCTTTAGCTTGTTTCATGTAAATGGCGGCTCTGTTTCTTTCGGCCAGCAGCCTTTGGCTATCGAATTTATAGAACTCGATGGACTGGGCGAGAAAAAGTTGTTCGAAAACTTCTTCATACACCGTCCGTTCTTGAATTCCAGTGGTCAAGCGGTTAGGACCTCGCCGTTTCTTACACGCATTACCAAGCTCAACAATGTTTCGTGCAAACGATCTTTAACGCGATAGTCGCGCACCACAATGCCGCGAAACAATTTCAGTCCAAGGTTGTACACGATGTCGAGCATTTTCTCATTAACGTACGTTTTATCCAAGTGCGTGAATATGTGTCTTATCATGTTCATCGCTGTCCGATGATTCGTCCAACATTGCTGCAGCGTTTGTAAAAAGTTTTTGTCTAAAGAGTCGAGCACGTCCGCTTGCACTTTAATCTCCAAAAACGGTGAAGAGGGTAATATGAAGTTGTCCCCACTATGCCTACAAAATGCTGATGACCACCGTACAAAATATACTAGAGGACAAATTTAGACTGAGGATGAACTCACATATCTTACAGCTGTAGAGACTAATGTGCAAGCGGACGTGCTCGACTCTTTAGACAAAAACTTTTTACAAACGCTGCAGCAATGTTGGACGAATCATCGGACAGCGATGAACATGATAGGACACATATTCAAGCACTTGGATAAAACGTACGTTAATGAGAAAATGCTCGACATCGTGTACAACCTTGGACTGAAATTGTTTCGCGGCATTGTGGTGCGCGACTATCGCGTTAAAGATCGTTTGCACGAAACATTGTTGAGCTTGGTAATGCGTGTAAGAAACGGCGAGGTCCTAACCGCTTGACCACTGGAATTCAAGAACGGACGGTGTATGAAGAAGTTTTCGAACAACTTTTTCTCGCCCAGTCCATCGAGTTCTATAAATTCGATAGCCAAAGGCTGCTGGCCGAAAGAAACAGAGCCGCCATTTACATGAAACAAGCTAAAGCGTGCATCAGCAAGGCATTCGAGCTGGCTAAAAACTACTTGGACACCTACAGTGGCTACAACTCGACCGCATTCAAAATATAATATGTGGTCGCACAAATTTTGATCCAAGAAAATAATATTTAATTATTTTCTTACAGAGGATTACAAGCAGCAAGTTTATCTTACAAGTCAGTAACGTTTTTTCTGCTTCTTACAAATTAGCTTTTAAGTTATTACATACCTATTATACTAATATTTACCATTAGAATATTAACATTTTTTTTCATACACACTAATATACAAAATTGTTTTAATTAATTGCCCAACTTACTTCGTACTTACTAATTGCCTCCTTACTCTTCTTCGTAGTAGTAATCAGCTTACGAGACAATGCTGACAAACATATACCCCGCCATATTTCCCTAATCTACATATAATTTCTTCTTTTTCTTAATGTGCCGATCCGTTTCGGATGTTGGCGATCATCATTGATATACGAGTTTTGTTAGTGGCACTTCTGAATAGTTCCACCGAACTTTAATCGCACTCGTAATCATGATGATTTATACTAGGACTTGTCCATTCTGGACCTTTAATGAGGTGGTTTGTCCGAAAATTCTTCCTCGTCCTTATGCCGTTGACTGCATTCTGCAGTTCATCCGCCTTTAAAGCCGGGTTCCAACTCTAGGACAAAAGAGTGCCCTTCTCTTGTCGGCTCCTCCACGCGAAGCTGTTTGCTGACAAGAGTTAGATCGCTTATGCCGGCGATCGTTCGACCTACCTTAGTCGACTTCTACGACAGGCGTGGAGTTACCGTGGGTAAATTCTACTACCCCTACCCACAGGGGGAACATCTATTTAGTTCAGGAATATTGGGATAATTAATATATCTATACACTCGGCGTTCGTTTTTATAATAAAAAAAATTATATACATTGCACAGTAATATTATCATTAGGATATTTACATTTTTTTTCATACACAATATTATACAAAATTGTTAAACAATTATTGTCTAATGTTTTTTTTTTAATAACAGTTTTACTAGCGGTTCTAAATATAATTGTTGCCTATGTGTTTTTTTTCTAGCCCTCTCCTTTTTCCATTCCTTGGATTTAATAATTGGTTTAACACTGTACTGGTTTATACTGCACTTGGTTTGGACTGTGCTGTTTTTAATTTTTTTAAGTCATCTACTAATAATCTTGATTCCAAATGACAAAACTTTAAAAATAATACTTGCAAAACGCCAGTTTATGTAAGCTTATTTATTTTCTAAATCAAAACATAATACATTTAAAAAGTAGCAGTTGAATTATAAACATTTCCTAAGATCTGCGCGAAAAGCAAAATATTGTGTATTGTGTCTGGCTATTGGAGTTATTTTGATAGGTGTCAATAAAGTACCTACAATATGGAGTTCCTAGGTGATAACCTATTATCCCATATACAACCAGTAATAATTTTTGAATGTGAATAAAATAATATTGACTTTGTGTGCCTTTCAAAGAATTCAACTCATTTTACCTAGCCTTTAAATGTTGGTTTTTTCAGACCATTAATAAAACAAGAATGACGAAATGCGTTAAATGAGTGGAAAAATCAAAATAATTCTCTTGTAAATAAAGCAATCGTTGCTATGGGTAGTTATAATGGTGGTAGTTCAAAGCCAAAGATTAAAAAGATTCATTTAAAGCTAAAGGTATATTTCCATTAGATAAACAAAAAGTAGTGGACAAGTTACCAAATGCAGATAATTCAAGTAGATTAATGACACTTACAGTTATTTAAAAAGTCAAAGATACCCAAACACTGATGATAATGCAAGAAAAAATAAAATAAAAATAATTATAGCCCCAGGAGCGAGTATAACGTCTACACTAGGTTTCAATAATGACACTTCTGACGTAGAGGTAGAGGTGACCAATCCACCAATAATCACCAGTTTGACTTTGAAGGAGTATAGATTGTCAGTTGCGGCAGGGCTAATAGGAGCACCAATTACTACTCCAAAAGGGAGAAAGACATCGGAAAAATTAATAAATAAATACGAACCAAACATTCCATTAGAGCAACGTTATTCCAATGCAGGCCACATGCCACAGTCGTGCGCATCAAGGAGATGCAACAATTGCAGCACTAAGGCTAATCCACATAGGACAAAAAAGGAATGTACTTCATGCAATGTCGGTTTATGTTTAACTCCACACAAAAATATACCCTAAGACAGTCAGCTCGTTGTCACCAAGTGTTGCAGAATCCTGTCATGATGGCATTTTCAAGGCGTACTTTTATGAAAATCGCATTGATTTTTGATGAAGAGGAAGAAAAAGGAGTAGACGGTTTTGGGTTCACCCATTAGTCCGGACTCGCTAGGAGGAAGGAGAATATTCAACACTCTATCTCCAGTTAGTAAACAATGACGTAAAATGTTATAAATATTTTCGTATGTCTCACGGAGATACTGCCAAAAGTTAAAACTTATTTAAGAAAAAAGGACATACGATTTTCCCCTGATTTCTTTCCACAAATTGAACTTTAAATTTGTATCACAGTATTTACGATATGAAAAATCATACAGCATACTATTTTCTCGCACTTATTCAATTAAAAATTCGTCGTCGATTGATTCACACTAGACAGCTTCGATCAAAAAGCACATGATCGCCACGGTCTGGATCGCGCATTGACCGATCGAGACCTGACCTGACCGGTCCATGATCTGAACGCGACCAACCAATAGTGTGAACCCGTTCCATTAGATTACGCACCAAGATCTCCATATGATTCGTCCAGATCGAAGTAAATTATAAGACAATGCGATCTTAGCTATACTAAATAATGTAGATGACTGCGAAATTGCGGAATTGGCTAACGATGATGATGTGGGCGATATTTTCTGTCATTAAGATATTCAATCACTTGAAAGTAATTTTTATTTAAAATAAATTATATTATATTTTACTATAATCTATAATATTATATTTCATAAAAAATTTAACATTTATACTTAAGATTTGAATTTTGAATACATTATTTTTCACAAGTTCCTTCTTATAGTTATCAGATATGTTTCAATGATTCTTAACTTTTTTACACCACAACTTGCAAATATCCCAGTGAATGAAAACACACTTTTTCAGCAAGACGGGGCAACAAGTCACACTGCAAGAATTTCAATGTATGCTGTGAATGCTTTGTTCCCGGGCCGCGTCATTTCACGCAATGGTGATATTCCATGGCCTCCTCGATCTCCCGATTTAACGGCTTGCGATTTTTTTTTATGGGGATATCTTAAATCAAGTGTTTGAAGAATGCATAAATAACAATGGAGGTCATTTGGCAAACGTAGTACATAAAAAATAGTATTTTTTTGTATTGAACATAAAATTGTAACTCTTATACTTTTTATTTATATTTATTAAAATTAAAATTTATTCATTCATTAAATAGTAATTAAGTATTGAAATCATCCCGTTTCACTGCCGGACACTGTATTTTGATAAGATCGGGTATTTCAACGAAGTTTAATTGTATAATATATTATTATTTTTTGTTATTCTAAAATATTATTTGTAGCTATTTAAAACATTTATTGAGTACTTTTATCTTTATTTTATAGATACTTTATAATTTTCAAAATATTTTAATGAAATTTGTGCTTTTTAAAATGTTAACCGGTTATGTTAAGTAATATTTTTAATTTTTCTTTTATCCTCACTTTTTAAATAATAATGAAGATTTTTATATGATTGATGAAAATAATGAAGTTGATAATGCAGTTGACGAAATTTATGAAAAAAAGAAATCAATAAAATTCTATTTAAGGCATTCAAAGTAAAAGCTGTTGAATACGGATTTGTTTTTGATTTAATGAACCAAATGGATGACGCTGTCCATTACCCAATAGAATTTCCTAATAATCTAAATCCTTCTGGTCTTTCATCACTTTTATAAACTTATTCTTAACCCTTAACTGGTATTATGAGATCCAAGAATACCCCAAGAAAATGATTTGTTGTTATATTTATTATTATTATTAATTTTTGATACATAATATCAATTAGATTCTAACCTCTTTGTATTTCTCAACCATATGTCTCACTTTGGTATACAGGAAACGCCCTCCAGAACCCATTCTAACAAGATTGGGGACGTGGATACGAGCCGTGGTTTATTACTGCAAACACCTAGAAATTTTAAAATCTATCATTGATTCTATGGTTAAGAAAAACGCTGTATGTATTGCAAACTCACAAAAGTATTTTTCTGACGCCAGCCTGCAAATTTATGAAGTCAAATTTTGTATTTCTACCAGACACAATTACCAGTCTCGAAGCAATAATTACTCCACTAGGTCATGCGGTTGAAGTAATACAAAATGTTAATTTGAAATCAATCCATTAGGAAGAATAATTCAAGAAATAATTGATAATTTTTTAAAAATATATCGGATATTAAAGTTTAATTAAAATTTTCAAAATAAATGGTGAGGAAACTTCAGTGAATGATCTACCTTAACGCTAAACTAAGTCAAAGTTTGCGTTCAAATCACCCTGAATCTCTTCCCCAACCGGTAGCTTACGTTACATTTTGGTGGAAGCGTTTTACCTAGTCGCACTGCTGTATAATTCGATGCGACCAAAGTCGAAAAGCCGTCTACTTTTGGTCGATTTCAGCCGTTCAATCATTGTTGCATAGCTATAATCGACAATTTAAACAACTAGGCGATCAAAATCGCTTGGTAATTTTGTTATAATTATTTTATTCGGCGAAAGGCATATTTTGAAGAAAGGGTGTCAAGATGTCTCTAGCTGCCAGTTACCAGTTAGAACAACAAATTCTAAAAATGTTTCCATCCGAGAAATTGGTAATAATATATTATTATTATTTAAATTTAAGTACCTGTTTATTAGGATGTATATTAATACCCAGCTAAATACCTGTATTTTATATTTTAGGAGTATAACAGAACCGCAAAGCGAGGAAATCTTTACAACAAGTTCTACAATCTGACGACATTGTTTAAAGTGGTATCAGGACCTCTCGGACTCTGTGCAGAAAAGAAATCCTCTGTTAATGCAGAGAAGTTTAGCAGACATTTTAACAATTTCGGTAAAATATACCTTTCTTCATTACAAACTTACAGTAAAAATAAATCATATTATTTTTAGAGCCAGAACATGATGCGGATAGCCGCTTAAAAGCTCTGAAATTTGATAATTTGAGCTCAGTAGAATTTGACCATACATAGGAAGCTTGTTGCCATCCTCGCCTTGAATACATCAAGAGCAATACCACTAGATATTTTTTTTAAAAAATGGCCATTTTACAAGCAATCAAGTTCGAAAAATACATGGTATAAATATGTTGCTTCGTCATTTGATTGAAGCATGGTATAGGTCACTTAAAAAAATTAACACATTTTTATCATTTTTAGCAGATGTTAGAAAAGTTTACTTTAGTACATTTTTATTTTGCATTGTAAATGGAGATTCGATGGTAGTTCTGGGTTTTCTCAGTATAAGCAAACTACTGTAGGGGGCTCTGATGATTGTAGTCTTTTTGTCACTTTGATGATACCGATATGATTAACGAATGAAACAAACAAAGACATAATTTGGCAAAACACTGTTTGTTCTTCTACTCGATTTTGTAGACCAATCCGGTCCAATACGCTAAAGAAACAACTGAATTGTTACAATATGAAGAAAGTTATAATTATGACCTAACCCTATAACCTATAACCCTAAAATATAATTTTTTAAGAAATTCAAGAAATAACATAAGTATCATGTATTAATAATTTATTGATTTTATATTATGTAGATGGGTAATTGATTTGTTTAAAATTAAAAGAAAAAACGCATTAATTTTTTATATCAAATTTTTAATATCAAAATTAATTAATTTTATTCGTTTTCAGAACGTCCTTGCAAGTGGTTAAATCAACTTAATTCAATTACTCGAGAAAATCCATGCTTTTGTCCGAATAACTGTGGTCGATTATACAGAGGCCAGTTTAGAAAAAGTATGCTAAGGCAACACTTAGTCTACGAATGTGGAGTTGAGCCAAAATTATAATGTGATGTTTGTTTAAAACGATTTGCTAGAAAAACAACTTTAAAATATCATTCAATTACCATACATAAACGTATAATATAAACTTTATTTGTATTCTGATTTACAATAATAGTGTCTTATTAGTTAATTACTTTATTAAATAACTGAACAAATTCTTAACAAATAAATAAGATTATTCCTTATGTTCATAAGAAAAGTGCTGTAATAATAAGGTTTGCCATGGAATTAACAATGATAGATGGAAAAGAGTGTAATGCAGTTATAAAAACACGTTATGTATGCAAGACAAAAATTTCTCAGCTGAACACGATTTAAGACTGAAAGATAAACCATAAAGACGACTCAACACTTAGGTAATTACTTTACTTTTTAAATTTCCATTTATTATTCAAAATAACTTTTACTTTTGTTTAAACGCTTTAAACAATAGGTTCGGACTGTCAGTGTTGTATGCATAAATTAGATGCTTTGAATGTTTACTTCACGTATCTTATAGGTTATATTTTAAGCAATAGAAGGTAAATTAACCATTAATCATAATATTGTTTATATTTTGTCTTACATAAATATATTATTATATTTTAGACTAATAAGAAAACTGGTACAGATATATTATTGTTAGAAGGAAAAAAAAATTCAAACTGTTTTGAAAGCAAAAATGGGTCTTTTAGCTGATTTTCCAGAGTAAGGAAGTGACACAAATAACGATGGTGATACGGCAAGACGCTTTTAAAAAAAATATGAACTTTCAGCCAAAATAACTGGTATTGATGAAGAACTAATAATTCGTTTTGAAGTTATTCTTCAAAGTCCATCAAATGGTTCAATGACAGTTGCCTTTATATTGAATATATATTCTATGGGGTCTTCCATTTTGAATTATAAAACTTATAATACCACAAGTACATGTTATTTATTATTACCAAACTTATAATGTATTCTAACCAGTGTGAGAGTCAGAATATAAATATCAAAATAGCTACCATATGTAACTACATAGTTGCTGATACATCATTTTTAGTTAATGGAATTGATCACAAGTTTTTGGGTTAGTAGAAAAACAAAAAAAATCTTCCCTGATATTCATTCACCTGATGATTAGAAATCTGTTATAACATCTGTCAGAAAAACAAATCCATTTAAGATAGTCAGTATGACTAAAAATTATTTGTTTTCAATCAAGTCCTTGTAGCTTAAAATCCGGTTAAAGTATAATCCAGGTGGAATTTCTTCGGTCGTCATATCCAGAAATGCCTAAGACTGTCTCTTCCCGGGGAGCACACGGCTTATTTAATATTTTTAGGTCTGTGTCCCCTTGCCACAGTATGACGATTGGTTTAGCGGGGCCGTAGGATAAATATCTATTGATAATGTACGGGCTTTGGTGCGAACCGCGTACTACCACTCTCGTAGGAGCGGTTCCAACACCTTGGGCTAAGACTTAGTAAAAACTTAGGTATCGACAGAATTGTTCCTCTGCCTTCGGTACTTAACTGTCTGGCAGTACCTGAGTATTTCCCTCCATATGTAATATTATCGGCTTACCCACCAACGATTTTATCCTACATTTATAGAGGCTATTCGAAATTGCCCCGCTGACTAATAGCGTTTCTGTCTCGTTAAATGATGCAAACTTAAAGTCCATGATTAAAAATTTCAGTTTGGCCCTAAAACCATATTTTGTATGGAATTATTTTAATTGAACACAAATTATATTTAATAGGAACGCATCTACCATGCTTCATTCACACACACACACACACTTGCATTGCAACACGTTGGCACAACTCTTAATAACTCTTTTCCCTTCCCTCCTAAGAAACGAATTCGGCTGTCCCATGCCAGGGCTGGGTACTGAAGTGTCTCAAAGGTATACGGATTAGGTTATTAATCTGTTGCTTTGCGGTAATACTAATAATGAACATATGTTAAAATAAAAAACATCACACTAAAATAAACTACTATTAAAAAATTAAAAAACAAAACAAAAAATATGTGGTACATCAGACTAAAATAAATCACATTTTGGCTTGCTAGAAAAGCTCAGCAGATCAAGAGCAGTAGTGAACATATTTATTTATGAACAATAACCCATCGTTGAGTTTGGAAAAATGTTTTTACTATCAAAACTACAGCCAATATTTTTCTCAATTTCCAATATGAAGTACAAACCAGGGGCGTATTTTTTTTTGGGGGGGGGGGGGCTGAGGGGGCTTCAGCCCCCCCCCCCCCCCCCCGAAATTCCAGGAAATTTTTTTTAAGTCTGCCTAAGCGGCATGAGCTTATACCCTTTATCTATAGGATATAAATATTGTAGAAGTTCAGTATAGACGTTTTAAAAATAATAAATTGCTATTTATGATTTTATTTTTATAACACAACGACTGATGTTGTTATTATTATATTTTGGGCGGCTGATTTACGGGCGCCAATTGTCTTCAGTCTTGTGGCAAAGCGTAGGGATAGGAGTGATCATCGTCATATTATTTCGGTTTATTTCGCGATACATGCAGGGTACACTACTATTGTAGAGCTATTATAAATAAATACAAACAATTAAACATCAGTAGTATATTTTATATTGGGGAAAAAATGTCAACGATAAAAAAAAAAGATTGCTATAGCCTGTATACATATATACCTACTTATATCAATAACAAATCGAACTAATCGCAGATGTTATAGAAATAATAGAATAATATTTATGTTATATAAAAATAAAGCAAAAACGAAATGTTTTTATTTGTTTTTTGTATGGTATGTTAAGAATTGGGGGGTTTGGCTTGCCAAGAAATATTATCGAATTCATAGTATATTTTACTAATAACGTGTGTAGACGTGTGTACAGTGTTCTGTGTTCTGTGTTTCTGTTGTGTAAAATTAATTTTATTAAAATAATATAATGAAACGAACTCAGTCATTGTTAACTTTTTTTAAAAAATCTAAACAGTCAACTGATCTGGAACGAACTGTTCCATCTTTATCAAATGTTTTCCAAGATGAAGACACTGTGGCATCTGAAACAAAACAAGCCGCTTCAAGTGTAGAAGTTAGTTCTCCGGTAATTAAACATATTTTAGATTCTAAGTTTGATATAGGAGCTTATGTTGAGTTTAAACAAAATTTAAGTGACGAAGAAAAGGTTTCTATTTTACAAAACGTATGGACCCCTGATTGTAAGTTTGATTTTCCATATGATACTACTGGAAAATATAAACGTAAATTTCAAATTAAATGGCTTGACACTTTTAAATGGTTGGCTTATTCAAAATTAAGAGAAGGTTCTTTTTGTAAATACTGTGTATTGTTTTTTAATTCAAGTCAGGCTGGTAAGGGTTCTCATGAGCAGTTAGGCAAACTTGTTTTAAAACCCTTGACGAAATTGAAAGATGCATTGGAAGAGTTCAGAAATCACGAAAAAAATAAATATCATAAAAATTCGTTGCTTACCGCTGATAACATAAAGGCTATTTTAGATAAAAAACAAGATAATATATTGGTACAATTAAATAATAAACGAAAGGATGAAATTTTAAAAAATCGCGAAAAACTTAAACCAATTATTCAAACAGTTAGATTATGTGGCAGACAGCAAATAGCGTTAAGGGGACATGAGGATTCTGGTCGAATCTCTTTAGAAGAACCAAAAAATAACGATGGTAATTTCCGTTGTTTGCTTCGATATCGCGCAAAAAATGGTGATAACGTATTAAAAGAACATTTAGAAACTAGTGGTGGTAAATCTATGTATACAAGCTCACTTATACAAAATGAAATAATTAATGTGTTTGGGGAATTAATTCAATTAAAAATACTTGAAAAAGTATCAAAAACAAATTTTTATACAATACTAGCAGATGAAACCACTGACATATCTCAAGTTGAACAATTTTCCTTATGTATTCGTTATGTTGACGAGGAAATTTTTTCAATTCGAGAAGATTTTCTCACATTTGTTCCCGTTCATGATTTATCTGGTGAAGGATTGGCCAACACGATTAAAGAAACTTTAAAAAAAAATGGGTTTGATTTAAGCAAAATACGAGGCCAAGGTTATGACGGGGCAGCAGCAATGCGTGGTCGTTTTAGAGGTGTTCAGGCAATCATTAAAGATATGTACCCAAAAGCATTATACACACACTGTGTAGCACATTCATTAAATCTTTGCTTATCAGATGCGTCTAAATCTCTAGATATTCGAAATGCTTTTGGTATAATAAGTGAATGTTGCTCATTTTTTAACTGTTCGGCAAAACGAACTACAGTCCTTAAAAATAAAATACTAGAAATTAAACCAAATTCACAATCCACTAAATTAAAATCTTTATGTGAAACTCGATGGGTATTACGCCATGAAGCAGTTATGCTTTTTAAAGAATTTTTAGAACCCATTCTTGCTGCATTAGAACAACTGCAGAATGAATGTTCTGGAACGGATTCTTCAATAAGGACTAATAGTCTTTTACATTGTATTTGTAATTTTAATTTTTTAATATCTGTTTGCGTATCTAGTAAATTATTAAGTTATACTTATAATTTATCTAAATATTTACAAAGTAAAAATATCGATCTTTTTAACGCTCTTAAACAAGTTACCCAGGTGGTTTCTGTGTTAAATACCATAAGAGAAAACGTTGATTTAAAATTTAACGATATTTATAAAGACGCCCAAGGTATTGCTATAAAGTTAAATGTTGAACCAAAAATACCTCGAACATGCAGCAATCAAAAAAATAGAAGCAATGTCCCGTTTAATAATATTGAAGATTTTTACAAAAAAACTATTTTTATACCGTATTTGGACGATTTAATAATGGCATTAAATGAAAGATTTTTACCTCATAATGAAACTATAATTTCATTACAATTTGTCTTACCTCGTATCATAGTTGAAAAACCATTTTTTAATTTAAAAAAAGCTGTCGAATTTTATAAAAGTGATTTACCTGGGCTAAACGACATTATAGAAGCAGAGTATGAAATTTGGCAGGCTAAATGGAAAAATATTGAAGAAAACTTAAGACCTGCAACTGCTATAGAAGCTCTAAGAGCCTGTGATCGTTTAATGTACCCTAACATATTTGAATTACTAAAAATACTAGCTATAATTCCAGTATCCACCGCTACGGCTGAACGCAGCTTTTCTACTCTTAGAAGACTTAAAACATATTTAAGAAATACAACTTCTGAGTCCAGGCTAGTAGGACTAGCACTTTTATCCATTCACCGAGACATTGATGTAAATGATGATATGGTATTTGACAAATTTGCCAACAGTGGTAAAGAGAGAAATTTGAATTTAATATAATTTGTTTTACTATTATTATAATTAGTATTAATAAGAATTATAATTTCTATTTTATTATATAATATTTTGTAAGACTTGAGATTGTGTAACTTATAATAATTATATCAGAATTATAATATTACAATTTTACACTTAATTTCGAAGTCTTGTTTTTAATAGGTTGAGAAATGGGTAAGTTTGGCCAAATTTTTAAAGTTTATTTCTGGATCAGAATTTAGAAATAACTCTTTACACAGCTCTTTTACTCAATGCCTCAGCCCCCCCCCCAAAAAAATATCTAAATACGCCCCTGGTACAAACAGCTTTTTATCGACGCGTAGGTTTTGTGTTTTTTGCAGTTGTAATTTTTCTTATTTGTACAAATTTTTCGAATACGAAAATATTTCATAAAAAACAATTGAGTTTTTATACGATCAGGGATGAACGTTTTACAAAGTCAATTAGTTAATATGTACCTATTATGTTGAAGTGACAACTTCATATTAACCTCTTCACCTGTAGATGAACCACTGCTGCTACAACCATAGAATCGGCCACTGTTGTATACAAATCTTAACAAACCTATTTAAATATTATCTTATCCTCTACCTTATAGTTTGTAGAACTCTTTGACGGTTGTGAAAAAGTTTGACGGTCCTTGTAGTAATGAAACATGAGTTATAAGACAAGCACTCGAATCGGTTTATTGCAGAATTTGTTTTTGCTCGGGTTTCTTATAAACTCATAATTGTTGTTACTCTTTTATAACAATTTTTTTGCATAAATATGATTTCATGTCAATTTTTATTGTTTCCAATTTATTTATTTAATTATTTTACGACAATGATAAATATTTCTGATATTTATTAGTTATTTATATTTTAGTGTGATTTTGCTTTTCGCGCAGATCTTAGGAAATGTTTATAATTCAACTGCTACTTTTTAAATGTATTATGTTTTGATTTAGAAAATAAATAAGCTTACATAAACTGGCGTTTTGCAAGTATTATTTTTAAAGTTTTGTCATTTGGAATCAAGATTATTGGTAGATGACTTAAAAAAATTAAAAACAGCACAGTCCAAACCAAGTGCAGTATAAACCAGTACAGTGTTAAACCAATTATTAAATCCAAGGAATGGAAAAAGGAGAGGGCTAGAAAAAAAACACATAGGCAACAATTATATTTAGAACCGCTAGTAAAACTGTTATTAAAAAAAAAACATTAGACAATAATTGTTTAACAATTTTGTATAATATTGTGTATGAAAAAAAATGTAAATATCCTAATGATAATATTACTGTGCAATGTATATAATTTTTTTTATTATAAAAACGAACGCCGAGTGTATAGATATATTAATTATCCCAATATTCCTGAACTAAATAGATGTTCCCCCTGTGGGTAGGGGTAGTAGAATTTACCCACGGTAACTCCACGCCTGTCGTAGAAGTCGACTAAGGTAGGTCGAACGATCGCCGGCATAAGCGATCTAACTCTTGTCAGCAAACAGCTTCGCGTGGAGGAGCCGACAAGAGAAGGGCACTCTTTTGTCCTAGAGTTGGGAACCCGGCTTTAAAGGCGGATGAACTGCAGAATGCAGTCAACGGCATAAGGACGAGGAAGAATTTTCGGACAAACCACCTCATTAAAGGTCCAGAATGGACAAGTCCTAGTATAAATCATCATGATTACGAGTGCGATTAAAGTTCGGTGGAACTATTCAGAAGTGCCACTAACAAAACTCGTATATCAATGATGATCGCCAACATCCGAAACGGATCGGCACATTAAGAAAAAGAAGAAATTATATGTAGATTAGGGAAATATGGCGGGGTATATGTTTGTCAGCATTGTCTCGTAAGCTGATTACTACTACGAAGAAGAGTAAGGAGGCAATTAGTAAGTACGAAGTAAGTTGGGCAATTAATTAAAACAATTTTGTATATTAGTGTGTATGAAAAAAAATGTTAATATTCTAATGGTAAATATTAGTATAATAGGTATGTAATAACTTAAAAGCTAATTTGTAAGAAGCAGAAAAAACGTTACTGACTTGTAAGATAAACTTGCTGCTTGTAATCCTCTGTAAGAAAATAATTAAATATTATTTTCTTAGATCAAAATTTGTGCGACCACATATTATATTTTGAATGCGGTCGAGTTGTAGCCACTGTAGGTGTCCAAGTAGTTTTTAGCCAGCTCGAATGCCTTGCTGATGCACGCTTTAGCTTGTTTCATGTAAATGGCGGCTCTGTTTCTTTCGGCCAGCAGCCTTTGGCTATCGAATTTATAGAACTCGATGGACTGGGCGAGAAAAAGTTGTTCGAAAACTTCTTCATACACCGTCCGTTCTTGAATTCCAGTGGTCAAGCGGTTAGGACCTCGCCGTTTCTTACACGCATTACCAAGCTTAACAATGTTTCGTGCAAACGATCTTTAACGCGATAGTCGCGCACCACAATGCCGCGAAACAATTTCAGTCCAAGGTTGTACACGATGTCGAGCATTTTCTCATTAACGTACGTTTTATCCAAGTGCTTGAATATGTGTCCTATCATGTTCATCGCTGTCCGATGATTCGTCCAACATTGCTGCAGCGTTTGTAAAAAGTTTTTGTCTAAAGAGTCGAGCACGTCCGCTTGCACATTAGTCTCTACAGCTGTAAGATATGTGAGTTCATCCTCAGTCTAAATTTGTCCTCTAGTATATTTTGTACAGTGGTCATCAGCATTTTGTAGGCATAGTGGGGACAACTTCATATTACCCACTCCACCGTTTTTGGAGACTAATGTGCAAGCGGACGTGCTCGACTCTTTAGACAAAAACTTTTTACAAACGCTGCAGCAATGTTGGACGAATCATCGGACAGCGATGAACATGATAGGACACATATTCAAGCACTTGGATAAAACGTACGTTAATGAGAAAATGCTCGACATCGTGTACAACCTTGGACTGAAATTGTTTCGCGGCATTGTGGTGCGCGACTATCGCGTTAAAGATCGTTTGCACGAAACATTGTTAAGCTTGGTAATGCGTGTAAGAAACGGCGAGGTCCTAACCGCTTGACCACTGGAATTCAAGAACGGACGGTGTATGAAGAAGTTTTCGAACAACTTTTTTTCGCCCAGTCCATCGAGTTCTATAAATTCGATAGCCAAAGGCTGCTGGCCGAAAGAAACAGAGCCGCCATTTACATGAAACAAGCTAAAGCGTGCATCAGCAAGGCATTCGAGCTGGCTAAAAACTACTTGGACACCTACAGTGGCTACAACTCGACCGCATTCAAAATATAATATGTGGTCGCACAAATTTTGATCTAAGAAAATAATATTTAATTATTTTCTTACAGAGGATTACAAGCAGCAAGTTTATCTTACAAGTCAGTAACGTTTTTTCTGCTTCTTACAAATTAGCTTTTAAGTTATTACATACCTATTATACTAATATTTACCATTAGAATATTAACATTTTTTTTCATACACACTAATATACAAAATTGTTTTAATTAATTGCCCAACTTACTTCGTACTTACTAATTGCCTCCTTACTCTTCTTCGTAGTAGTAATCAGCTTACGAGACAATGCTGACAAACATATACCCCGCCATATTTCCCTAATCTACATATAATTTCTTCTTTTTCTTAATGTGCCGATCCGTTTCGGATGTTGGCGATCATCATTGATATACGAGTTTTGTTAGTGGCACTTCTGAATAGTTCCACCGAACTTTAATCGCACTCGTAATCATGATGATTTATACTAGGACTTGTCCATTCTGGACCTTTAATGAGGTGGTTTGTCCGAAAATTCTTCCTCGTCCTTATGCCGTTGACTGCATTCTGCAGTTCATCCGCCTTTAAAGCCGGGTACCCAACTCTAGGACAAAAGAGTGCCCTTCTCTTGTCGGCTCCTCCACGCGAAGCTGTTTGCTGACAAGAGTTAGATCGCTTATGCCGGCGATCGTTCGACCTACCTTAGTCGACTTCTACGACAGGCGTGGAGTTACCGTGGGTAAATTCTACTACCCCTACCCACAGGGGGAACATCTATTTAGTTCAGGAATATTGGGATAATTAATATATCTATACACTCGGCGTTCGTTTTTATAATAAAAAAAATTATATACATTGCACAGTAATATTATCATTAGGATATTTACATTTTTTTTCATACACAATATTATACAAAATTGTTAAACAATTATTGTCTAATGTTTTTTTTTAATAACAGTTTTACTAGCGGTTCTAAATATAATTGTTGCCTATGTGTTTTTTTTCTAGCCCTCTCCTTTTTCCATTCCTTGGATTTAATAATTGGTTTAACACTGTACTGGTTTATACTGCACTTGGTTTGGACTGTGCTGTTTTTAATTTTTTTAAGTCATCTACCAATAATCTTGATTCCAAATGACAAAACTTTAAAAATAATACTTGCAAAACGCCAGTTTATGTAAGCTTATTTATTTTCTAAATCAAAACATAATACATTTAAAAAGTAGCAGTTGAATTATAAACATTTCCTAAGATCTGCGCGAAAAGCAAAATATTGTGTATTGTGTCTGGCTATTGGAGTTATTTTGATAGGTGTCAATAAAGTACCTACAATATGGAGTTCCTAGGTGATAACCTATTATCCCATATACAACCAGTAATAATTTTTGAATGTGAATAAAATAATATTGACTTTGTGTGCCTTTCAAAGAATTCAACTCATTTTACCTAGCCTTTAAATGTTGGTTTTTTCAGACTATTAATAAAACAAGAATGATGAAATGCGTTAAATGAGTGGAAAAATCAAAATAATTCTCTTGTAAATAAAGCAATCGTTGCTATGGGTAGTTATAATGGTGGTAGTTCAAAGCCAAAGATTAAAAAGATTCATTTAAAGCTAAAGGTATATTTCCATTAGATAAACAAAAAGTAGTGGACAAGTTACCAAATGCAGATAATTCAAGTAGATTAATGACACTTACAGTTATTTAAAAAGTCAAAGATACCCAAACACTGATGATAATGC